AACACAGCTTTTATTGCTAGAAAAACGCTCGAGGACAATAAACACACAAACAAACCAAAACCTCAAATGTGAAACGAAACACTAGGAAACTAACAGGAGCACGAGACAAACACACAGCATGAAGAGGACATAACACACGGCGTAAATACACACCGGAGCAATCAGGGAATGGGAGACAGGAGGGAAACACAGCTGGGAAAAATCAGACTTAACGGGACATGGGAAGCAAAACTGAGAGGAGTGTCTCATGTCAGTGTTTCAAAGTAAAACAGGAAACACAACAGGCACAGACGTGACACTGAACACTACACTAAACACGAGGGGACAAGAACAAAACCTAAGGACTAAACTCTTAACCAGAATTAAACTGAAACATAGGATAATAATAATTATCAAAACAGCACAACTAGAGAATCAGAACATAAATAATAACACAGAATAATATCAAAACACAAGAACCTGAAAATACTGATCAAAATGATCCGAACCATGGCATTAAAAATACAGCTAATGGAAAGAGCACATTTTTGAACATGCATTTCATTTTAATATCACCCCAACTGAAAACAAATTAGCAAAAAATGTTTTTTTAGTATCTAAAAATGTAAAGATTTAAAATAACCCAAAAACAAAGATGAATGAAGCTTTAAATGTTTCAGCTTGGCAGTGCTGGATTTCTTCTTCTTTCTTTTCAATTTCATTGTGTTGTTGTTGAATTCTTGCAACACAAACTGAATCCTGTATTTGAGCTGCTGACGTTTAGGAGCCCTGGAGTAAAGCTTCTTTTTTAAACCTGCAGCAGAATCTTGTGTAAAACTTGCTCAACCACATTAAGAGTTTCCACAAACTGACATGAAAATCCAGAGGCCAGAACATCTGTACCTGTTCTGCAGGTCACTCAGAGTTTGAGGCTGGTGTTTTCCATTGTTTGAGTTCAGGACAGCAGATCAAACACAAACAGAGGAAACATGAGTCACATCAAACTCTGGAATCTTTATTTATGCATTTAATCCACCTGATTACACCATGTCATTCCTGCCATTTTACTGAATTCTTTAAAGTCTTTGTGTAATGAAGGTAGCTTCAGTTTCACTTTTTCCCAACTCGTCTTCCTAGCTGTTACGTATGCTTGCAGATTTTGATTTCTTGTGTCTCTACAAGAATGAGGCACAAAAAAGCAAGATAACAGCAGTGACACCTTGCACAAAAGTTGCAGGTATCATTCTAGAGACTGTTGCTACAAATGAGACTTTATTTCATAATAAAGCCAAAGGACAAACTGATGACATGTTAGCTGACTTAGAGGCTGCTGACCTTTCCTTGGACAAACATGTTTAAAAACACACTTAAAAAGTTCCAATAGACTAACATTACCTGTGAATGAAGTTAATTCAGAGTTCATGACCAGCTGCTGACATTTTAATGATGCAGTTAATAAACTGACAGATATGAACTGAGTTTAGAACGACTGACTGAATTACTTTATTTTCAAGTAGAACTTTGTAAGGTGAAAAACAAACTTTCTCACAGAAACTTAGGTGAATAAATGTAACAAGCACATTCAGTCTACAGTCAGAGAAGGAAGCAGGAAGGGTGGAGATATGAACTAAAACAACAGGAATCACAGCTTTCACGCTGTAAGATGGGTTTATGCCCCTTGTGTTTTTGTCATTTTATGATCTTAATTTATATTCACTGTGTTTTCAGGTTTAAAAGATGAGAATTTTTGGTGAAGAAAAGCTCTCTGTGTACTTTTAACACAGGCAGTGCCTTGGCTGCCCCATCAGATGTTGTGCTTTTTACTTTTAAACAGACCCTCTCACAGCGTAGCTTAGCCACGACTTAGCTTAGCTATGTTAGCTTAGCCATGACTGTTATCTAACCAACACAAAAGAAACAGAAACAAAACAAACACTAACATGTAATAATGAATAAATAAGAGAAATTAAAGCATTGTGTAAAAAAACTCATATCACAAAACTAAAATAAAGCAAATACATTTTTATTTATAGTTGGCCTATAATAACATTTTGAAGAGGTGAATAAATGCTTCTAGGTTACAGAGACTGTCCATTCGCTTCCGCTTATCCTTCTCAGGGCAGTGTTGCCAACTCCTCAGTAAGGAAAATTGCTATTGGCTGTTCTAAAAGTCATCGCCTAATTTGCATAATTGGTCATGCTAATGTAATTGTAACCTACGTTGTTGAAGAGCGAAATAACAACGTGGAACGAGACATAAAGTGAGCAAAGCACGTCTTAAATGCATTTAGAGTTTATTTAGAACTACAAATTAAATTTCTTTTAGCAATTATTGTTTTTTTTAATGTCACAATTCCAACCCTGCTCCTTTACCCGGGCTTGGACCGGCAAAAGTGACCCGAAATAGGCACTCTGGTGGAGTTACTTTGTGTGTGTGTTTATAAGTAGTTTTAAACCTTGTGATCCACAAAACAGCATAACAAGAATTGACTGCGTTACAGTTAGTGCGGGAGCGGCGGCACAGAAAGTCCCCGGAATCAAACTCAGGACCTTCATGCTGTGCGGTAACAGTGCTAACCACGGTGCCACCGTGCTGTTACAGTGACTGCTTATTCTTAATTTGATTGTCTTGAAGTGCATTTCAGAGGGAAACAAGTTAAAACAGGTAATGCCCCACACTGAAAAAGCTGACTTTACTACTTTATTTATTCAGATTAAAAAAAAATAAAAAGACAAAATTCAGGTACAAACTAGACTGTGTTGTGTGGCTGCAGGGGAAAATCCACCAAGCAGTTTGCACAAACAAATGACCAGTTACTCACACAAACCCACATATCTTGTACCGAACAGTGTGTGCTGACAAACAAATGTTCTCTGAGTCAACTGCTTGCACAGCAGCTTCTGGACAAAAAGTACATAATAATAGTTTATTCAATGGAGTTACGGAGGACGAAGAAGGTCTCTAATATAATCTGACATTCACACTCTCTGGATTTCCGGTTACACAGAAGTCCCTCACAAGATAACCCAGACTCAATGGGTCTCAAGCTGTAGCACATAAAGTCACGCTATAAAGAAAGTTGACCCTTTTCAACTGTTAAATTAGGTTGAGTTTGCTCCTCACGAGTAAGACATCTGATTTATCTCTGTGCTGTCAATGAGACCCTTTGATGTGGCAATTTAAATGTCATTCATTAGTTAATCCCAACGCACGTGCGCTTGCTTTAAGGCAATCTGGAGATGGACGCAGGTATACAGCACTACTTAGCTTTTAAGCGTTTACTGAATAAATATGGTGATATTATGTGTCAACACAATGTCAGGTACGCCTCTGGACTACTGTTTACAATGTGATGGTAGAGGATGTCTTACAAGGAGGCCTCCAAGTACAAACAGTCCAAAAAGTTTTCATTCATTCGTTCATGGCAGAGTCAGTTTATGCAAGTCAACACAAATATAGATGAACTTGTTTATCACACTCCTTGTCTAGTATCAATAACAGCTCTCTTTATCAAATATCTGGACATAGATAG